AAAGGCAACTCGGGAAGAACTGTTTTGTCGACAATAACAATGATACTCGATTGCTTTACAGGAGTATTGATACCGTGTCCGTGTACAAGAAGCCCAGAATGTTCCACTCATTTTCAAAAGCAATTTAATAATTTTTAAATTTTGTCCTTTTGGTGCTTGTTGTACTTAGAAGCACCAGATGAAAACTTAGAGGATAGGTAATTGAAGACTGTTTTTAATATGCCAGTATGTTTGGTGTCATGGAAGCTCTAAATGAATCGGTAAGAATCAGTTTTTTTAGAGACAGACAAAAAAATGCACAATTGAAATGAGAGTTTTTTCTATTATAACACATACTCGCTCGCTTTACTTGGTCGAAATTAGAATAAGAAGTAAAACTTTCACAACAATTTTTCTCAACACAAACATTTAAAAAAAATTAATTAGAGCTGCTGAGATTAACGACTGAAAGAAGTTCAATACGAAATATTACTCAGCCCATTCTGATGATTGTTGCAGAACATGGAATTGCGTGAAAAACTGAAAAATTAAATTTTTTTACAGATTCGAAGACGCGAGACAAGAAAGCCGGTGAAACTAAAAAATTCCAAAAACATGAAAAAACCTAGATAAAATGAAACAAATACAACCACTTCTGATAATTTCATGCTATGACAAAAAAAAGTAAAACTGTCGAAGAAGAAAAATTACCAGTCAATCCAAAGCCAAAAATTCTTGAGCCAAAAAAAATTTCAAGGTTTTTGGTACGCCTCTCCCTAAAACACGCACACAAAACCCTTTGTCGCTCATCATGTTAGGAAATATCAGGCCACTATGCCTATCAAATATTGGTCAATTAACAACCAAAATGAAACAAAAACTTCGAACTGAACGGGTTTTTAAAATGCTAATAAGCCCAGAATAAATTGTTGCAGTTAACTTTCAATAGAGATGAACCCTGCGACGCTTCAATCTAGGATCCAAATACTGTGAGCAGATTATATACGGGAAAAATTTTAGGACGCGGTTGCAATAGCCTTGCTAATCGCAAGATTGAAAAAAGCTAAAACAACGCTAAAATCAAAGTTTCAGTGGTAGGAACAACGATTCTACATTTAACCTCTTGAAAATAAACTTGCAGAGAAATGCAATTAAACACTGTTCACTTTTTTTGATACTGATGGCTTAGCATTGAGATAACACTTTTTTGAAGCAAATTATTCACGCAAAAAATGTTCTTATTGCAGTTTGAGGCTTACTAGTAAAATAAATCATATATTGGTGCTTGTGAGGTAAAAAGGAGAACACCAACTGAATAAATAACTATTTTCCCAAAACAAATTTGGTTTTTGCTCAATACACTGTTGTTGTTTTTTCTGGTGATCATTTTTGCCATAAAAAAAAACTTTTTTTTTCAATTAGTTCAATGAAAACTTCTCAAGAGGCTGTTTGTTATTTTTAAATTTTGTTAGAAAGATTTGCACCTCTACAATTAGCCGCTAACGCATGCTCCGCAGCTAGTTATTTCAGTTGAAATTGGCCGTTTTCTAGCAAATGTAGATGTTCGGAGAATAATTTATGCAGAAAGAGTCACATTACATGGTGCTCACCTCGCACTTCAGAAGAACATACTATTTTTCATAAGGAAAATGATACTGTAGGAAGTTAATATTTGCATAATTAAATCATATCGTTTTTTATGCTGGAAAAGTTTCCTTGATCCCGAAGAAACTCGACTTCGAGCTTCAAATAATTTTTTTTTACAATTAAACTGTTTAAACTTCAAAAACTTTATGATTGGGATTTTTTGACACAAAGGCAAGTTTGCACTTCGCATACACAAGCAAAAATATGACCGATACCGGGAAACACTGATTGAGTAAACTTTGAGCCTACATAATTACGATATGAAGCAAGCCAATTATGAAGCAGTACCAGTCAATTTAAAGGCTCTTTGCCAGTTTCCCGCCGCCTCGAAAAATTACAAAACAAAGCAGATCAAAAATAGTTCATACGGCATGTCGCATGTCAGAATGTTCTAAAAATTTGTTCCCTCTTTCACGCTGACATGTTTCAATGCATATTATAACATGAAAACTTTAAAAAAAAACGTTCATAAACTGAATTTCAGAAATGAAATGGGGGACTAGAAAAGAGCCAGTTTGAAAATTAAAATGTACCAACTAACGTGACTCAATTTATAGAGCGGATTCATTTTAACTAGTATACGAAAACGATCATTAAAACATCCGATTTTGCCCAGGTTTGCTCTTTCTTATTTTGTTGCGTGTCTTCTTCCCTACCTCTATGCTACATATCCATGATACAATGAAGCTACAGCTATTTGTAATATAATAGTCTGTGTGAACATTCTTAGCATTGGCTGTTACTTAGTAGCTGGTTATTGAACTTATGCACATACTGCAAAAAAGAAAACTTTTAAAATGAACACTAATTTTTGCGTTAGGTTGGAAAGAAAACGGAGTTCATGCTATCACAGAACTGTTGCTAGTGTACTAAAAAATATATCAATAATGGAAAAGTGGTCGAGGACAATTTTTCCGCTGGGGATTCAAAAGACTGTTCTTTTTTCAAAAATAAAATCATTCTAAGTTTTTTGCTTTAATTGCACGGTCATAATAGGAGCGCATAATTTACATTACTCTTAAAAAAGAATTTGCATTTATCCTACAAACTTGTCGAGTAGCGATGAATTAATCTTGGTGGTAAAAAAACAACGAAAACCAACTTGAACTAAATAAATTTTTTAATTACGTTTTTGGCACTTGAAAAGTTAGCATTCAAATGATTAACTTATTTCTGTTGACAGTCTATTTACCCTAAAATGAACACCAATGTTCAGCTTTACTAGTGTTTGCAAGTTTTAATCATGCAATTTGAAAGTAAAACAATACAGCTTTGAGGCACTTTAAGTTTCAAAAATCTTCTAGTAAATTTCATCTTGAATTAAAATTCACCCAAACTTAAATTCAAAGTCTTATGTTGAAAAGTCATTTTTTTCGACTTCTGGTGAAAAAAATGTACAATACGGTCGACCGTCACTTTTTTCCGTTTTCTTTCAAAATTTTCATTTCAGTCATTCAATCGAGAAAAAATCTAAACCGAGGCATAAACACTTGTAAAATTTTCATTTCAGAATCAATAGTTCAAACTCTGATAAGCAAAACCGCCAACAGGCAATAAAATTGTAATAATTAACTCAAAAAAACATTGACTTGTTTTTTTTCAATTCAATTTCAAATTAACAAAAACTCAATTTCAAAATCCATTTTCCAGAGAATATTTTGATTGACCCTTTTTTGATAAACAATAGCCACTTTGAAAATCTCATTTGAGCTTGGAAGATTTCTTCCCAAAAAAAGTTGAAATCATCCCGACCAATGTCGTTACAATGTTCATTGACACTGAATGTTTAAAATTTATTTCGTTCATATAATTTTAATTGAACGGCTTTGCAGAGAAACTTAAAGATAATTTAATTTCGCTGTTCCAGCGGTACACTGAAACTTACCACTCCCATTATGCATATTTGATAACCTCCGGCAAAAGCACAAAATTTTGCAGTTAATAAAGACCGCTGCAACCAAAAACTGCAAAAAATAGTAACATAGCCAACAGAGTTAGAAAAATTTGCACATTTAAACACTGCGCTCCACAAACACTAGCGACAACAAGGCAAAAACAGCTCCTGAGTTTCTAAAAGTAAAGCCTACGACCTAATGCGACCTCGCAATTATGAGTCTCACGCACTAACCACTCATCCGCGGACGCTTAGTCCATCAAAAACTAGCCACAAATAAAGCTGAGAACAGATGCTATGAAATTTCCAATGCTACAGATCGTGATTATTTAATGTCATTAGTAAACACTTTTAATGAACATTTTTTGCGACTTAAATTAGAAAAAAAAGAAGGCTCGTACAAAACACTAGCTGCCCGATAGCGTAAATAAATCACCTTCATGCTTTTTGAATTTTGAGAACACTATGATTGACCGATTTTGCTTAAAACTAATGCACTGTGAGAACAATGGATCAATAGGTAAATTTTCATTCCGCCGAGAAATCAAAACCTACTTTCGAAATCAGAAGTCGATAACGTTTTTCGTGACCTTAACACGTTTGATGTTCGATTGTGAAGTTTGCCTTCTTTTTTTTTAACAAAGGAACAGAACTGAATTTAGAAAATTAAGATCATTCCTCGATAAATCAATTATTGCGGTTTATATTCGAGTCTTCTTTACGTTCATCGACTCTTAATACACAAAAAATTTCTGAGCTTGTTGAGTGTAGATACTAAAAGAAGTCTAGCTGAACTAACTATCAATAGATATATTGAATAATAATAAAAACGCAATTTTAGCTTGAAAAGTATCCAAAAGAGCGACCTTCACTCTTGCTTCAACTGAAATCAAATTTTTCAACCAGGCTTTTTCTGAAAACTTTTTTGTTTAATATCAATCGAATCACAGGACTAAAAAGTTAAGCATTAAATACATCACCCGACCTCATCTGATGTATATTTGTGGTAACTTCTTACGAGTGCTAAAATTTAAAAAAAAGAAGCAATTACTTGCCAACCAATAGCGGATTTAGGGTGGGGGATTCCCCTTCCCTCAGGGATTCGACCCCCTGCCGACCCAAAGGGTCCACTTTTTGTACTATTTTGGGATATCCATTTTTTGCTGAATGACCTTAAAATTTTTCTAAAGGCGCCAATCTATACTAATTTTGAGAGGGGAGCGCGCGCCAAAAAAAACGCGATTATTAGGTTGAAATTTTCCATAAAGTGCCTAAGACCCCTTTTTTCAAATAATTGCCTGCGTTGCAGAAAATTTGGTCAAATTAGGGTCTTTATAGTGGTTTAGGAGAGCTCAAAAAATCAATTTGCAGAGCTCTCATTTTTTTTGAGAATCCGCACTCTTGAGAAACTCCTAGATCCGCGCCTACTACCAACTGAAGACCAAGTAGCGCTACGTAGCGGGTCTATACAATTCGAAAATTGAGTGGAAAAATTTGAAATTGAAAATTATTTACAGAATGAATATGAATGTTCTATCTGACACAAATAAAAATCTCATATGCTGCGAACCACTAGTCGAACGCACTTGCAACAAGCACTCGGCTGGTTCAAATTAAACGTTATCAATTAACTACCAACTAATTAAGTTGTGTCGTCCATTTACGCCACAATTGTATTGAGACTGTAAGGAAAAGAGGTGTCCTTTGAAAGGGCAGCAAGGAAGTTAAGTAAACAGCACACAACAACCACTTCAAACGCAGTCAGGTCGCTCATCAATGCAAACTGAGGTTCAGTAGCTTTTCTGCTGACCAATTTGGACTGCAGCAAGCCAAAAAATGTTAAATGTGACTATTTGAATTCTCATCAGATGCACATTTCGATGTTTGAAGTGGTATAGATTTACAAATTGAAATGTATTCAACAAAAATTACGATCTAGGGAACATTATCCAAATAAATTACGAATAAAATACAAAGTGTTATTTAAGATGATTAATTAGTTAAGAATGTAGAAAATTTATTAGACCTATTTGTAATTATTTATCATTCTTATTTCGACACTCAGCAACGTTGTGTGTGCACCACAACAACACAAATTGAGAGTCATTTGAAAGTAAAATTTGAGAGGCGACGCAAAAAGTGAAGTAAAGGGGGTGACGGTGTATAATAAAACTAAGAAGAGATTTGCGGGGAAAGTAAACTATCAATTAATTCGATTCATTTGCAATAAAATAGAAAATTTAGGGCATGGCTAAGGGACTCTGCTAATGACTGAGAGATGATATTGGATGGGTGCCCGGAAGAAGCATTGCCTCACTCTGCAACCCTGCTCAGATTCGACAGAGAAGGGAGATTGCTTTAGGTTGTGTTGGGTGAGATAATGCAGGGTCAGCCCCATAAAACAAACACTTGTTTAAAAGCTAACTTGTTTTTAGTTACAAAAACTAGATGAGTGATTGCAGTGCGTAAACGTTATTGCAACAGGATAAATCACAAGTAACCCATTGAGTCTCTCTCATTACCCATCTTACTTGGAGGGCGTGGAGTCTTATGTCATGTTCTTCAATTGCATTCTCCTAATACATCTCCTAAGTTCCACCTAATACATCTGCAAGTGTCTTCATTGACCACTGGTTGCTGTGGCTGCCTGGTTGTGTGAGTGACTATGCGATTGGCCAGATGAATTGCCCAGTATGTTCTGGTGCGAGAGGGAGGATGACGTTCTGGCAGGTGGGTCTGGCTTACTTGTCCCAGACGAGGAGCTCGACAGCACACCACCTGTGCCTGAACCAACTCCCAGCTTGGTTCCATAGCCACCAGCTGCACCTGTAGAGCCCATAGTTCCCAAGCCAGAGGACGGACCGGTGCTGATTCTATACTTGGGCTGGGTCATGTTCTGGTAGCTACTGGAAGCGAATGCATGCTGTTGCTGGAACTGTTTGTTCTGCTGCTGGAGCGTAGCAGACATTTGGCTAAGACTGCTGTGGTTTGATGAAAAGAGCTGCTGTTGCTGTTGTTGACTTACCCCCACTGTTCCCATTGAGTGGATAGAGCTGTTGGGTATCGTGCTCCTGTTGGAGAAGCCAGATCCTGTCGAAGTCATGACAGGAAGTGTATTGGCGAACAAATTGAACTCTGAGTTGGGAGGTGAGAGCCTAGAGCTGGACGCTGAGGAGCCAGGATGATGCTGCTGGAGCGCCAGAAAAGAATTGGAGTTTCTTCCAGAATGCTGCGAGTTCTTTTTAGATTGGAACCCACTGGAACCCGAGTCCCCTGATCCGAAGTCTACATGATCTTGACTGCCATGTGAGGAGGCGTCGAGACCATTGGGTGTGTGCACGCTCAGCCTCTCCATGCCCAGAGGCGATTGATCGGTGGGAGAGACAGCGAGAGAAGGGTGGGAGTGAGAGGCTGCAAATTGGGCTGCCAAGGACTGGATATGGGCCTGGGAGAGAGGTGCACTTCCTAAATTGCCAGAGGGTGCCACTGGTCCGTTATAAGAAGCTGTTTCATCTAGAGGAAAACGACCTGAAAGCAGTACGAGAAATATTACACGGCACGCCATGATTACTACTGCACTGAAATTTATCAGAAAATGTGAGTCCTAAAGTTACAGTAAGCTTGAAAAGCTGAGTCTTGAAAAACGAAAGTTTAGACACGGGAGGTTACTTTGTATACAGACACGCAACTGACATCGTATTGTTTACTCACCGTTGAGATTGCGCTTTGCACTGTTTGCCTGGTGAGATTGAGATGCGTTTGCACTTATGAGCAGCTGAGGATGAGGGTGTTGCTGGTATTGCTGCCCAGGAGAGGATAGCATTGGAGAAGCACCAGTGGGACCGGAGGCTGTGCCAGGAGACACTCGTGAGCTTCCCCCTGGTCCCAACTGGGAATTAAGGGTGCCGGCGGCGGCAGCCGAAGGTGATTGCACTGGATTAATATTTACACTACTACTACTACTAATGTTATTATTGTTGTTTGTGGTCGACGATGGTGACCTAGAGTGCACTTGGGACAAGTTTTGAGCAGAAGCTGTCGTCAGGTTCAGCCCTGAAAGAGCCGAGGCGCTCATTCCAGATATATTCGCACTGGATCCAGCGCCCATTTTCACTACTGCTCCCCCATGGCTGTGCATGTTTGGGGGTGGGGCATACTCCCTTCTGGGTTGCTGCGCTGGCTGAGAAAGAGGTTGTCTGCTCTCCACTATCTCTGGGATGTCGGATGCAGGAGTGTGGCCTCCCTTCTCCAGCTCATATATTCTCTCTTTCAATCTGATGATCTCCTCCTGCAGATTGGAGCACTGCTTCTCCGATCGGGTCAGTTTTAATTCTAGTTGCTGCTTCTCGAAGCCAGAGCGAGAGTCTTCGGAGGACTGCAGTTGCATACGGGATTCCAGATGGCCACACTTCCCCCTCCACTCGTCCACAGCAGAGTTCAACTCCCCTACCCGTCCTGTCTCAGCTGCGAGGCTGTCTCTCACCGTCTGCGTGAGTTTCTTCTCATTGTACAGTTTGTACACCAAAGCCTGTCTGTCTTTCAGCAATTTGACCGTGTCACTCTGTCGTCTGCTTCTTTCATTCATCAACAGCTGCTTCATCTTCACCAAGTTATTCTCCATGTTCTTCCTGGCCCCTTGCTCCTCCTCCAACTAAACCAATCATTACATTATAGTTCACTTCGCCTTAGCTTATTGCTTCGATTACAGAGCAAAAACAATTCGAAATGGCTGACCCAAATTTTTTCAAACAACCCTACTACACTGTCAAACACAGGCGAAGCTGCTCTTCGTAAAAACAAGCTACTAAGCATCAAGAAACAGCTTTCACACAGGGCAAAAGGGAGCTTCGCACCACTTGCGATAAACCACGAGCGTAGGACTGCAAGCTAGGGAAAAGAAACACTGAAAAATTTGGTGCAACTACTACTATTGTAAAAAATGACTTTTTTGTAACAATGAATGTCAATTTCAAGAAAACGGTCGATAAGCACAGCCACCAGGAATAAATAAGCTTTTATTAATTAGCGCGCTGCTACTATTAATTAGCGCTCCAAAAATACATGGGTAAACGTCCATTGAGCCGAAAACAACAAACACAAAAAAACGTAATTAAAAAGTTAGCGACGGAATTCTAAACCATGGAACTATTAACGACAACCGACCTAACATACCTTTAAATAATAAAAAAAAAATTGTTTCAAACGACACAAAAACAATTGATCGAGGCAAAAAAAACATTAGCCAAAACTATTCATGCGAAAAAAACTAAGAAAAAAACAAAGGAAAATAATTAAATAAATTTTAAAATTACAGGATTAAATCAACAACAGTAGCAACTACAATGAAAACGTGTTACAGAACAAGAAAAATCAAAATCTGCAATGATGCAACTAAGCCGACAAATCATTAGCAGAAAAGCGAAAATTAGCAGAAAAGCGAAAGTTAGGCAATTCACTTTTATTCATAGTGAAAAAAAACAAGGTCAGGCCTTAAGGTACAAAGGCAACCGCGTTACCTCTATACCAAGTCGAAAGGAGTCTGGACGCTATAAAGGTTCAGAAATAAAGCAAGTTGATTTCCTTACAAAATTATGTGAAAAGTTTTGACGGTGTGAAAACCCTAGTTCCCGATACCAAGACACTGACTCTCGAAGTAAAAAAAAGGTCAAAAATAGCCAACCGGCAGTTGGAAAATATTCAATGAACGCAAGTAAATAAAAAACGGACATAATTTTTGAAAAAATCGCAACAATTAAGATTGCACAGATAAAAAAGATGGCCTTAATGCTCTTAGAATTTCTAAAACAATTTGTGATTAACACTTTTTGGATAAAATTAACTCCTTCCGCTGTTCGATAGGGGAGTTTGAAATGAACTGAACTTTAAAAAACTCAAAAGACTGGCCGCAAAAAAGTAAATTTGTGCCTAAACAAATTTTATGACTCTTAACTGAAAAAAAATCATCACGACCTTTAGAAAAGTATGTTTTTGCTCTTTCACACATGTTCTTTCACGACAAAGCAAGAATGAAAAATGAAATATTAGAACGCATGAATGAAAAAAAAAATCATTTGCATAGTTTCGCGCACTTTTCCGGGCTCTTTCACAATTTTCTGACATCTTTCCCTAAGAAAGAGCAAAAACATACTCTTCAACAGTTAGAAGAACATGGTTTAAGATGGCCTCGGGCAAAAGAGCCGCACTAGGGCACTTCGTGCCGTGAGGCTGGGCTCTTTTTCCCTCGGGCATCTTTCAACTATGTTCTAACTACTACTACTACTACTAAGAGTCTGAACTATGTTCTTCGACTCTTAAAAATATATGGCCTTAAGGCTCTTTGAATTTCAAAAGCAATTTTTGATTGTCACTTCATTCATAAAAGTAACCCAATTTGAGAAATCTGGAGCAATGAGTAAATTTTTTAAATTCAATAGGAAATCTGAAAATTTACTTTCACTTTCGAAAAAAGAAACTGATCATCTGAAAGAAAAAACGCAAAAAAAAATTACGACCTATTAAAAGTCTAATTACGTTAAAAGAACGGAAAAAAGCAACAAAAAAACTGAAAAAACGAATTTTTAAAATATATGCCCTTTAAGTGAACCGCACGCATGCATGGAGCAGCTAAGTTGATTGCACTATAAAACTGCCCATGTTGCTTAAAGAACCAAAAAAGTGGCCACTCATAAACCCGAAAACACTTAATCAGCCATCCGTGCCACCAAATGAGCACTATTTTATGCTAGTTGGATAGAAAAACAAGTGAACTCGTAAATAATCAATGCTCGCAAGCTCGCATGGGTAATTATCCTGCGCACTAGGTTGTTCAAAAAAATTACAAGCTAGTGCGCAGGATAATTCAAAAAAGACACAAAAAAAGCCTGTGTGCAATTGAGTAGATATATGGGGTTCGGAATGAGTGAGTAGTGTAACAAGACTAGAGTGACCTTGAGCACGAGTTTGTCCCTCTCCTTCTCCAAGTGGTAAGCCACTTCCTCCCCCACTGCTTGGTCAGCTGAGTGCTTCTTTTTCTCCTCTTCCAGATCAGTCAACGCCTAACCAACACACACAACATCACAATTACTTTTTATAATTCAGATGGCGTCTGACTTCACTCTGTTTAGAATGAAGATTGAGAGAGATAAAGACGGAGAGTAGTAACCTTGTGGTAGCGTCTTTCCAGGTGTAGAATCTGTACTCCAAGTCTGTTCAGATTGCGCTTGTGCGTTTTCACCAACTCCTCCACGAACAGCAGTGGCTGGTGAGTGACCATAGAAGCTTGATGAAGGCACGCATCCTCACACGAACTTGTCCTCTGCCCTCCTCCTCCTCCTCTACTCCCACTCACATCTGATCCACTGACGGCGGCAGCAGCAGCAGTTCCATTGCTGTCACTGTGGCCCTTGCCAGGTGCAGCAGACGAGGATGTGGATCTGGTGAATGTATTGAGGAGCTGTGTGTCTCTGTGGAGTGCTGAGAAGGGGTCTGTGGCATTCAGCTGCCCATACTGCAGCAGCACCTTGTGCTTCTTCAAATTGTCCTTCTAAACTACCACACTTATCACAACACACTCAAAACAGTACAGCTGAGACGCCCGTCGTTTGATCTTTACATCAGCTGAGAGAAAGTTGACAAAAAAAAACACCAGCAATTTCTCAATAAACACGAAGCAAGCGCGACTTATCGATTATTTCAAGATGATTATTTCCAAAAAAAAAGTAGGAACTCGGACATCAAGATCATATGACTTCCAGGAAAAGTTGAAACCTAGCCAAAGGAGGGATGAAGAAGTGTCAAAGGACTCAACAAACAAAAAATGATTGAATTTTATACGATTTTTAATTTCGAAACCAACATATCACGTTAAAGCTATTTGAACTTCGAGAATGATTGACAATTTTTTCATAAATAATCTGGCATTAAAAACTCGCTGTAATAAGGTATGGGAAAAACATGAGTTTTCTTTGAGTTTACATGCAAAAAATCAATCTTCTATTCACTCTTGCAGTATTAAATTTTAGACACAGAGGCGAAACAGAGATGCGCATCTCTTGCGATGGAACAAATTGTATGTCTAGAAAAAAAATAAAAAATCAGATCTGAAAAAGCGTTGGAAAACAATTTTGAAACCAACAAGCACCAAATCAATTTGACTCTATCAGGGGTTTTAAACTGGCCAGCTATGCAGATACACGCAATGAAACTATTTGTTAACAGCACAACGAACTTAGAGATTTTTTTTCAGATAAGACAAATTACAATTACCGAACAATTTTTATCATTTTGCAAAAATCAAAACATGTAAGATAAAACGAACAAAACTAGAATGTTTCTAAAAACCAGAAACTATTGAAACTTAAAAAACGATTTTCAAAATATTCAAAATCTAATAAATATTCTTCTTGCTTGAAAAAAAATTGCTCAAAAAAGCCGAATCAAACAAAGATGTAAAAACAAGAAAGAGACGCTGCTAACAACAAACAAATGATTTTGCAGTTCTTAAGCCGGTCAGACAAAAACAAGTTTAAAGAGAAATTTGAACAAAACCAAAATCAAAAAACGCAAATAAACTAATATCGCTAAAAAAGAAGAAAAGGCGTATCATTGAACCAATTTTAAAAAACGAATGAGTCCAGAAACGTATCAAAATTATCTGAAAAAGAAACAAAAATGAACAAACGTTTTATTTTTAAATTGACAAAAAAAAACTCAAAAAATAAAAAGTTAAATCGTTACAGTTTTAACACATTGAAATTACTGTGAACTAAAAGAACACAAAAAATTAATCAGGAAAACTAGCAGACGGACTAGCAAATTTGAGTAAGTTGACGGAGTAAAACAACAAAAGCGTCTAGCAAACTTGAACGAAATTACCTGAAATATTGAATTGATTTAGTTCTGATTTGATAGGACTTTCGGCAGGCTTACTTGGTCTCCATTTTTCAAACGAAATTGTTAGCAATTGCGATAGAATACTAACATAAAAAACAACTAACTTTTTAATGTCTTGATTGAAAACAACTAGGGGCCCAGCTAAAGCTGGTGGTATGTATTTGATATTGAATAAATTAGCTATACTGATGCGGCACAAAAAATATGATTTCAAAATATTGATGTGGCCCAGAACCTTAGTTTTTTCTCTAGTAAAATAAGAGAGAAGAGTTGAAAAATTTGAGATAACCAATGATCCCAAGGAGATAAAATTTCTCTTACAAAAGACTAAGGAGCCACCGATTTGATTAAGACAAATTAAAGAAAATTTTTAAAAAAATTATCAAAAACGGTCAAAAATTCTAAGCGGTCGAAAAGATTTCCTGCAAACAGAAGTTTGTGGCTACTTGTGCAGAAATTATTCCCAAAACTATGGTTTTTCGATAGAACGCAACCTGAGAACTGGCACGTTTGTTTTCGCGGAAAGTCAGAAACTGTCAAAGTTTCAAAACATTGACTTCTTGGAAGGCCATAACTTTTTTAAGCAAATTCGGCATAGCCAATTCTAAAGGTAAGCTTTCAGCGATATGTTATTTTAAAATATGGCAGAGTAATTTTCGAGAATAAAAATTCAAAAAACGGTCAAAACCAAAAATTTGACTATTCCGAGGGCCATTACTTTGTATAAAAATTGGGTGTAGCTGCATATGCAGTGAACTTTTCGAAACATTTTTCTATGAAATCCAAAACGAAAAAATATATATTGGTCAAATAATCCCGCTCAAACTTTTTTGAACGCTGTAGACAGATGCATCAAGCATAAAAAGACTCTTTCAATTAATACCCCCCTTTTTGGAAAACCAGTACAAGTTTATTACAAAAACTACTTTTTCTAATTAATTTGGAAATAATTTTCCATAAAAAAAAGAAATTCCAATAAACCGAGTAAATCAAACACTAAAAGCTTCATCAAAGAAAAATGCGCGCAGCAAAAAACCGTTTCAAGATGTGACAATTAAGCCGACAATTCATTGGTTAAAAACTTTATTTGAAACAGATTAATTAACTCCCGTTTGAAAAAAAAAACAGTTCCTTGTCAGATTCAAACCCGGGAACTTCGGCGTTAGTGTTGGCACATACCTGATACTAGTAGAAATTTATACTAGTATCGATACTAGTATATACTAGTATATGAAATTTAGATACTAGTATCACAGACTTTCAAAGTTGTGAAAGTTGCTTAATTCACTAGTTGAGTAGGCTGCTTAAGTAGGCTAATTTCTTTGATGTGAGTGTGCTTGTTCACCGCCGATGCTTAGTAAGCATTTTCAATTGGTCTATTGTCGCGTTTCCTCCGGACAAAACTGCTGCGTGTTTATATCAGCTGGCTCACTGTTTTATTCAAGATGGAAAATGTTAAAATCGAAGATTACCTTCACGAAAAAGATGGAAACAAAGGAAAATGTCGAACTTGTGAAAAGTCTGTCATATGGAATCGACAGAAACTTGGCAACCATAAAAGATCGGGTAACTGCCGAGGTCAACCAACAACGGAGACCAACATGTTTCGAAGTTTGGTTGAGAAGAAATGTATTGTGACTGTTTCAACACCCAATAACCCGCCAGGTAATGAAGAAAATGTGGAACCTGCACCCAAATACCCTAAATGGATTGATTCGATGACTGCAATACAGAAAGAAGAATTGGACGTCAGTTTTTCGAGGATTTTGCCGGGAAAAGAGAAACCTGTTTTTTACAAGAAACTTGAAAGTAATTCATCTGACCTCTGTTTCTGTTTTGGTCCGTTTATGGAAGAATCGAGTACCCAGTACTCGCAGAAATTGCCATTCGCGTGTACCAAGTACCAACATCTTCGGCTGAGTCTGAACGCGCTTGGAGTGTTTTCAACTTAATTCACAGTGAGAGGCGAAATCGACTTTCTAACGTCCGAGTTAACAAACTTGCGTTTGTGTACATAAACCGTGCTTTCAGAGGCATTCCAGAAAACTATTCTTTTCATTTTGAGGATCAAAATGCATAACTTGATGTCTTCAATGTTTTTTTCTTCTTTTCAAGTCCAGGAAAAGTACCTACTAGTATCGATACTAGTATAAATACTAGTAGGTACTAGTACATACCAGTAGGCATTTTTCTCATACTAGTATAATGCCAACACTATTCGGCGTCCTAGGCACATTCGTTACCTCCAGGCTAAGTTTGAATTCATTTTGAACCAAGAAAGAAGTGATACAAGTGATTCTGTTAAACAAGTTGTTAACCAAAAAAAGTTTTTTCTAGTTTGAAAACGCTTGCAAGCGTAAAAATGATTAGAATCCAATTAGAAAAAATTTCAAATCGAATGTCGAAAAACTCAAAAAAAAGCTGAATATCAAATGTACAAAAAATAAAAACAATGAGCTATTTTATCTGCCCCAAAACGAATACGACAAATACAACCGATCGAACGACAAAAGTTTGAACCAATTTTTTTTAACTTCAACTGAAAAAAAAACACGAAAAAGAAAAAAAATTGTTAAATTTTTTCCAGTTATTTAAGTCTAGAAAAATGATTTAAATTTTTCTAATGTTTTATAGTAGAAATCAACCACTCCCAAACAATACAAAAACAAATGTACAGAAAGGTGATACAAAAACAAACGGAAAATAAGCAGTGCCTAAATTCTACCGAAATTTCAAGGGTAATCGGATACAAAAATTCTCGTATCCGATTGCAATACCCTGATCGCCAGGGTAGCAAAAGCAAGAAAATATCATTCAGAAATACAGATCTAAACAGATATGACCCAAGCCACGCTCGATCACCTGGTAAACTTATATGCATTAATGGAGATCGCATTACGAAAAACACGACGTGGATTGGTTAATATTCCGAGGCGGCTGTCGCTAATGAATGGTTCTAGGTTCCATAATATCATTATTGCTGTGCGACAAATGTTCCCTACTGCTGTTGAATCCCGTATGAAAGTTAAACTGTTTCCCCGATATTATCTAGGCTGACAAAAACTATGTCACCCTCACGAGAGATCTCGAGCAACCAACCCGAGCCCTTTACCACATCATTAATTTTCGAACTGACCTTTAACGAAGATAAAACAAAGTGAAAAGCTTCAAGTTCGGCTTCCAGCTGAGCCGCTATTGAACAAAGACTCGACTTGTTGAGAGAATTGAGACTGCTTTCATCGCCAAATTGAGCCCTGTTATTTGGTATACTGTCATTTGTATTTCCGAGTGGATCAATTTTCGCCTCAGAAAACGCCTCGTATTCCATATCTATTTACATATACATTTTGCTCCTTTACCCATTAAATCTAAAATTGTGCAATTCTTTACTAAATCAAACATAACCAAGTCACGATTACATTGACAAAGCAAATTTTTCAACAAAGAAGCCGTACATGATTGTGCCAGTCGGTCATATTTGGAAGTTTGACCTTGAGAGAAGCAAAAAACACTTGATTTTGGAGTGAAATTTAATTTTTCAAAATTTCGAATGGAACCTGTCATGCACGATTTTCTCGCGATAACTGAAAATCAGAAAAGAGAACTCAGAACGTTCGAGTGAAAAACGCGGGAAAGTTGCAAGAGAAATCGGTAGGAAATTGATATTCGCAATTTCCATCATAGTGAACAAGAGTAGAGCTGTCCCATCTGAAATAGAAGACAGAGTATTCCCGAGAGAACGATTATTTGAGCTGGACCAGTGTGAACCTTCGACGGAAAGGTGGACAACTTGAGTGTCCCAATGGTTCACGAGAAACTATATCCTAGAGTTAAGACTTGTCCTCGTTATTGAAACTGATAAACATTAAAACTCATTTAGTTACATTATTTAATTCTTGAGTTAATTACCGACTGAAGTACTTCCCCTTCTTGAGTGTGCTACAATGTGAGTACTAATTTAAATTTCTAGAGTGTGTTTTATAATTGTTATGTTGAGGTAAGGCGAGTTTTAGGTTGATCCATCTGAAATGGATCAAAGTTACACTGTCTAATAAAAAGTAACTTAACGGATTGTTCCAACCCGGTTTTTAACGGCGTTCATGTATTTTGGGTATCTAGAGACCTAAGTATGGGGACGTTTCTAATTCTAGAGTGGGGGGATATTTTAGTAGTAGCCTTTAAGCTGTAACGGGTCGTAGTCTCATGTCACAAACGAACCGAACTGGCTCCGACCGTTCTTGAGGTAGAAAAACACAAGAGATGGTGTCCCTGACCCTTGAGCCAGTGGTTATATGGCCTATTTTTCTTAAGCCTCATGTGTGACTGCAGTAGACGAATGTTACAGATTCGAATTGGAACTCATTACTTGAAGCTAAAACAAAAAGTGGTCCTATAAATCTAGATAGCCGGCGTTGAAATTGTTACAAAAATAAACAATTTTGCACAAATTTAGTGCAACTTCGGGTATTCGTTTAGCAATCTATTCGCGTTATTGTAACAGTCGCCTACTTTAGTCACATATGAGGCTTAAGAAAAATAGGCCCTATAACCATTGGCTCAAGAGTCAGGGACACTATCTCTTGTGTTTTTCCGCCTCAAGAACGGTCGGAGCCAATTCGGTTCGCTTGCGACATGAGACTGGAACCCATTACAGCTTAAAGGCCACTACCAAAATACCCCCCCACTCTAGAAATAAAAACGTCCCCATACTTAGGTCTCGAGATACCCAAAATACATGAACGCCGTTAAAAACCGGGTCGGAACAATCCGCTTAGTTACTTTTTATTGGACAGTGGAACTTTGATCCATTTCAGATGGATCAACCTAAAACTCGCCTTATCTCAACATAACTATCATAAAATACACTCGAGAAATTTAAATTGGAACTTACATATCGACGCACTTGAATATGAGGAGTAAGTTATAACTGAGCAGCTTGAGAATTAAGTAATATAACTAAATAAGTTTTAAGGCCAATTAGTTTCAATAACAGAAGTAAGTTTTTGTCTCTAGAATCAAAGTCTCTGAATGAACCCTTTGGACACTCGAGTTGTCCACTCTTCCATTCAGAGTCCACTCCTTTCCATTCGAATAATTGTTCTGTCTCAAGTCCGTATTCGATTCTCCTGTTTTCAGGACAAGACAGCTCTACTCTCTTGATATTTCGTATCGAGAAATTGCGAATAGCAATTTCCTGCCTTTTTCTTGAGTAGTTTCCCGCAATTGTTAATTCGGGTGTTCTGATTTCTGACTTTTTCATTTTCAGTTGGTTCGAGAAAATTGAGCATGACATGCTCAATTCGAATTTTGCAAAATTAAAATTTCACTCCAAAATTGCGTATTTCTCAAGGTCAAACCCCTAGACATGACCGACTGGCACATACTCCCCGGACTCGAGATCGATGTCCTCATCGTGTGTTGTCATCTGCCAATAAGTCCCAGAGAACCGAGTGTTGCTCAAGATACAGTGCCAGTGGTCATTTACAGAAGTTTGCATCGAACTTAAGCTTATCTACCTTGCAAAATTCACGACCATGTAAAATTTTCACACTATCGCTAAACAGCAACCAAAATCTGCACACACCTGCACCTGTGAATTTTCGCTTTTTAAGCTAGTAATTTAAAATTTCTTTTGTCCTATTTCAGTCAGAGAATTGTCATGCATCAATTTGATTTATATACTAGATCTATCATATTAATAACAATATCTTATTCGTTTAAAATTTCTTTTCCGTGAACCCAGATTTTATCCAAGCTCACGCTCAAGCCCCCTCCCTCTCAAGACTCAAGACTCTAGAATTTCCTTTCGAGCCACTGGCTCACCTCATGTTCTTCGCCTTCGAGGTACCTGATACCGGTGTTCTTGGCACTGTAATTTGTTCCAATAGTGCCTCTTCGTCATCGGAGCTAATCACAATTTCCTCCCAGGCCTTCAGCTGTTCATAGGCTCGCATCCACTCTCTCTGCTCTTGCAACCTTTTCAATTGACTTGGTAGGCCTTTCACCTTCGACTCCCGGTTCAAGCAGAAGGAGTTATGAAGACTCAAGCTCACATTCCTCGCCAGGTCCTCCTCCAGTATCGTTTCCCTCGCTCTAGAACTGTCTCTGGATATTCTGCCTACTCTTTTCCACCCCGCCGTGATTGCGTTTCGATGGGTTAGCAGAGGTCTCTTAAAGGCATCTGGCCCTATTTCAGCTTGGAATTGTCGATATTCCTTCTGATGTTTCCTCATGTGGTCCTTTGTCACTGCATACAACCAGGATGTTAACGTCGCACGAAACCAAGGAAAGAATCTCAGGCGGCTCCATATGTGTCTGACTTGCACTGGTATGGCGAATAACTTGCATGCAGTCTCGAACAACTCCAGTCTCCTGCTGTAATCTATCGCATAAATCGATTCAGCTGTTGGCGCTCTCGATTCTCTGTACTTCGCTATATTCTCCTCAATCCATCTCAGAGCCAGCATCGCGCTTACCACTAAGATGGTCACCTTTTGTCGATACTCTGGTAGTCCTAGCGACTTAATTTCTTCTACGTCCCAGATCAGACAGAGATTGGCGCGGTCCGGGTACCACACTGTCTGCGCCAGACAGTGGCATGGACAATCCCCATGCGTGAGGTCGATGCTTCTAAGGTTGCGTTCTCCCGAAGCTTCTAGGAGAGGCTCAAGTTCCATCATTTTCTCATGCACCACGTCGACTTCTTCCGAGCTTGAAGCACCTACTGCGGGTTTCCCCACCACGTTCTGCTTCCCATGATCACTTGTATTTTCGCTCTCCAAGCCTAGAAGTTCTTCACCCCAGATTTCACTCAAGTCATCTCTTTGCTCCTTTGGTACTGCTCCTCGGATCTTCCTCAATAGCTTGTGTGAGTGGTGTGACATCCGAGCTAGTCTCACGCACTTGGGCACTGAGAAGGCTTTGTCTATCATCACCCTCTGGCTGGACACCTCCACCATCGCCATGTGTAGTGGATAGTGGCTCCCACATAGGTTAGCCAACACTGATCCCACTAAGGATTTTGCATTTAGAGGCAATCCATAGGCTTCGCTCATGGGAAATCCCATCTCTGCCTCGAGTCCGATCTTCCAACTCTTGATGTGCTTCTGGTTCACTTGTAGCACTCCGGGCCATGATTCCACGCTTAACGCGGTCACCAGGTGATGTTCTGACTCTAGCCTCTCCAGTGACTGGAGACTGCACATTCTTGAGAAGAATCCCAAGGCTGTCGCTAGGTTCACGGTGGTCCTCGCGTAACATTCAGCCACTATCTGTACCTCACTCTTCTCCCTTTCAGTAATATCTTCAAACCAGGTAGTGAGGTCCTCTTTCTGGAAAGATTGTATCCTGACGCATAATCGTCCATCACAAATATGTTCGCCGTTACTGCATGTCGAATCAAGACAACTGCCCGGCTCCATCCTCCTCACCGGCTCTGTTCCACTTGTCACCTCACTTGATTCTTTCACCTGAGGCAAGATCAGTTTGTGTACTATGCTCAAGATCGCCAAGTCCTCATCCTCTGTCGGTGCCAATCTCACTCGCTCAGTGACCTCCTCAATCATACTTGCATGGGGATGTGGACACCAGGAAGGTCTGAGTAATTTCCATACCACTCCCAGGTTCGTGATCAACACGCCACTCCCATCACCCATTTTTAGCTCCACTCTTTTACTTGAGCGTGGCACACTTATCACTCCCGGCATCCCCTCAAGAACCAGACCCAGGCTAGGTCTCTCTCTCTCCACAACGTCTATCTCCACTATCTTCTCTGTCCAGAACTTCAACAGCTCCGCCACTTCATAATTTCTGTTGGCTCCTCCAGCTTCCAGGTCCAAGAAGGGGTTGTACGCCATTCCCATTACTCCAGAAACATATTGGTACTCTCCCTTTCTGTTGAGTTTCAAGTACTCCCCTGACGAAGCCAGGTTGCGGTGAACGTCGTGCTCCTCTTCGAACTTCTTGTTGTAGAACCTCCGTATCTCATCCAACTTCCTATGGTTCTCCAGAGATTGCCTAGAACCATCCTCCCTCTCTATCCCAGTGCTCTGATACACATTCAAGATGACTGTGGAGACTCTCCTTTCCAACGTCTTGCTTGCGACTGCTTTCTGATGACATGCTAGGATGGTACTGTCAGTCATCATCGACATCGTCCACCTCAAGAAACAGGTTGCATCCTTCCTCCTTGCCAGACTCAAGCCTGAGTTGTCCTTGGCAACGTGCTGCATCAACATTCGGTATATCTCTAGATTTTTTCCTCCCAGCTTCAACTTGTCGTATGAAGTCAGCGTTTCCAGCTCTATCCCCAACAGGCTCCACGCGAACATCAGTTGTCCTGCAGTCCTGATAAAGGGATTCGCCA